ACTCATTCGATGACGCCTCTGAAGTACAGGCTACCAGCAACCCCAACCTCACCGTCTCGATTCCTCAGAGCTCATCTACACGCTCTCTCACAGACAGCCCTCCGAGCGGAACAGGTGCAACACCTCAGTTCACCGAAGCGCCATCTCTCCCACCTGTTTTTCAGAACGAAGATAAGAAAGATGAAGATATGGAAGATGCCAGGTCAGAAAGGCAGTCTGGGACGGATGAAACGCCTCGCAGGACCAAATCTCCAAAATCGCCCTTGTTGACGGCACACCGACTATCGACGACTTCTCTTGACGAAGTGAATCTTGCCAGTAACAATTTAGATGACGTTACCCTGCAGAATCACGACTTGGGCCAGGAGCCCATGCCCGACGTTCCCCCTGTACCTTCCCGAAATTCAGCATCCTCCGCTCAAGGCGTGCCCCTCCAAGGACTATCTGGCAACCTCCCTTCCAACTCGTGGGGTTTGCCTCCCGTGAACAAGACCCCGGCGCCAGCGGCCCCAGTTCCAGCGCCGCCCCTAACCCGAAAGCTTACCGGCCCCTTCGCCTGGCTTTCCCGAAGCTCAACGGCGAGTCGCGAGGTCAAGTCGCCTCCACCACAAACTAGTCGGCGGAACACGGCTGCGTCCGTCTCTACTCTCTCGAGCAATTCCGAGTTGACCAAGCATGACGGAGAAGATTTGGATGGTTCAGCGGCCAGGAGACCAAGGCGCAGCAGCCTAAAGGACCAATTCAAGTTACTAAGGATGCGGGATGAAGGACTGGTTTCGGAGAACGACGGAGCAAGTGTCGCGTCAGGACGGGCAAGCATCAGTCATTCTGCTGGAAGTCCTCCCAGTATACCCGAAGAAGAAGAACATGCCTCTGCTCCACCTCTTGCATCGCCGCCCACTGTTCCGCCTACGGTCAATCCCAATCTGCCCCCGGGAACGGTCTCGGGGTTATCTGCCTCTGCCACCGATGCGTCTGCCCCTGTCGATTGGGAAATGTGGCAGCAACTTGTAAATCATGGTCCGCAGGCGCTCAAAGGCCCGAATTCAGAAGAGATTAATGCGGCCATCAAGCGAGGAATCCCTCAGACCATTCGAGGTGTCATCTGGCAGATTCTGGCTGACAGCAGGAATCCGGAGCTGGAAGAGGTCTACAGAGATCTAGTTGCTCGCGGCACGGATAAAGAAAAGCAATACACAAACGGTACAGGGGAACCGGAGTCCCTAGCTTCGTCTCGCGCGTCTGTGCGATCAGAGAACTCAACCGCGCACTCGAACCACGGATCTTCTCCGAGCCCCTCCCAGGAGATTGATCCTGAGAAGCTGGCTAAAGAGCAGGCGGCTAACGAGATAGCTCGCAAAAAGAAAGCCAAGGAAGATGCCGTGGCGCTCCAAAAGCTGGAGAAGGCTATTCGTCGCGACCTTGGTGCACGCACCAGCTATTCTCGGTACTTCGTCTCACAAGGGAACCAAGAAGGCCTGTTTGGTCTGTGTAAAGCCTACGCTCTCTACGATGAGGCCGTGGGATATGCGCAGGGGATGAACTTTATTGTCATGCCACTCCTGTTCAACGTAAGGACTCAACCCTAACTTGCACTCAGTGGGAGAATCATATTGTCTAACTACAAGTCCCCGTAGATGGATGAGGCCGAAGCCTTCACGCTGCTAGTGAAGCTGATGAACAAGTATGGCCTCCGAGAGATGTTTATCCATGACATGCCTGGTCTCCATCGCAATTTGTACGTCTTCGAACGTCTGCTGGAGGACTGGGAGCCAGCCCTCTACTGTCACCTTCGCCGGCGAGGTGTCCATCCCCAACTTTATGCCACTCAATGGTTTTTGACCCTTTTCGCCTACCGTTTCCCGCTACAACTTGTTCTCCGAATCTATGACTTGATATTCGAAGAAGGTCTTGAGAGCACCATTCTCAAGTTTGCAATCGCTATCATGCGCCGCAATGCTGAGACCCTACTGACAATGAAGGACATGACGCCACTCACTACTTTCCTGAAAGAACGCCTGTTCGATGTCTACATTGACAAACAGCCTTCACCATCTTCGATTCTTGAGTCGGGGTTCTTCGGCAGCTCTGGCGCAGCGGACAAGGAGGTCTATAGGGCGGATATTATGGTGCAGGACGCTTGTGCGATTGATCTGGCCCCCGGAACGATTAGCGCCTACACTGCGGAGTGGGAAGAAAAAGTGCGGACGGAGCGAGAGCGTGAAGCTGAACTGGAAGGGCTCAGGAATACCGTGGCCAACCAAAGTGCTCGGATACGCCTCCTAGAAGAGCAAGCCGAGGCATCTGATAAAGAGCATGTACAGCTGGCTTCAGAACTCGTGCACCTCAAGGTGGAAAATGAGGAGCTCACCGACATCAATGATGCTCTGAAACTTCAGGTTAGCGAGTTGAAGATTGTTGTGGACAAGCAGCCCGCAGAGGTTGAGGAGAAGCTTCGCACAGAAATGGACCGGATAATGAAGCGCAATATGGAAGTTCAAAATGAAAATCGATCGTTGTCAGAGCAGATGGCAGAGATGGAGAGGGAGCTCGTGGAGGCGAAGATGCAATGGGCTGAGGTAAGCATTTAGCGATTGTTGAGATGATCTGTCCCAATCTAACGTTTTGCTGCAGATACACGAAAATTACGAGAACCTCAAACAGAAATGGAGTGATCTTCGCAAAGCTCTTGATTAGACTTGCGGATGTGTTATGCAATCCGATTCCGGGCCCTCTACCACGTTCAGCAGTATCTTCCGAGCTCTATTTTTGCCAAACCGCTAATCATACGGAGCCAGTGTGCACTGGCAGTTTCTCACGTACATTTATGACGCCTATCCGCCGGCCATGACCAGCTTATACTGCATGTCTACGGGAGCTCCACTGTGCAATTGGATGGATGTCGAAGTGTAGAAAATGTTGTTTCATTGTGACCTCCGCACGTCTTGCGTTCCCCTCGGCCTGTGGTTACTGGGAAGGGAAGACTACAAGCACCTGTCCTCGACAGCTTTGACGAGATGATGCGATGCCGCTTGCGAGGGACACAACTGCAATTACTGGGTCTCAGTTTGCCGCATTTATGCTGAACCAGTAATCTCCCTCATGTTGACTCGATACTATTGCCAGGTCCCTGACCGGAGAGTTCTGGATTTGCGATTATGGCAAAGAGCATACTTGATGTATGCCATGTATATCATCGAATAGAGATTATCCAAATACGTGCATGAACTCGTCATTCAGCCTAGCTTTCTATACAAGCATGACCGGTCCTGTATTCCCGTAATCATATCACCACAAGTCTTCAGGAGAACGTAACTAAACAATATTGACTTAATTACAGTACACTCTCGAAATAAGTCGTGAGAACATCTTCCTTCGCTGGCCCCGCCACAGCTTTCAGCGCCTTATGCGCCTCACACTCGTTATCATAGTACTTCATGTCCTCCATTGAGGCAAAGGTCGTCTTCACAGAGATATTGAATCCCTTGTTGCGAGGATCCGGGAACGATTCGCCAGCCGCCGCGCTGAGAATGTACGGTTTGCCATCCTGTGCTCCCGTCAATATCCATCCAACTTCAGAGCCGGAAGAAACAAACCTTCACAGCGGTTTTCGCAAGAACCTTGTACTGCTCCAAGATGCGGGCACGGTCTTCCGCCTTGGGGACGTTGAAAAGAGTGATGCGTTCGATGGGGGCCATTTTCGAGACCCGGGGCGCGTAATTTCCGCGGCGTATATACCTATAAGAGGGGATCTTTCAAGAGAAGGTAACGTACTTGAGATGGAAATAGAGAGGAGGGGAGGCTGATTCAAATAGGCTCGAGCCACCCTCTTTCCGCTACCGGATGGATATCGCCGGCTATTTATATGGGCCTGGGGGATCCCCGCGATGTGGGGTATGTGTAGACTTTTGGGTTTCCTAGTGATCGCTATGATTGTTCTTGGAGTCTCTAACTACATGCTTCTTAGAATTGGATCTGATTTATTATGCAAGGTACAGTGTAGTACAGGCCTGACTGCCGACGAGTGAGCACTTCTGACGGATGCGCGCAGTAGTGTCTACCCTCGGTTCAACAGCCACTTAATGTACTCTGCAATATCTGTCGAAAACCACACAGTCCGGGGATATTGAACACTACGAAGAGTATCATCCGTCGTTGTCTACCATTTCGCACATCTGGTTTGTGTGTTCATAGTTGTACACTTTTGAGTAGACAGTTGTGCAGACGAAAAGGAAGCGCGGAAATCCTCCGCTGCGGGCGCCATATTCCGCCCCGTTCTCTGATGAGCTTCGGCTAAGTGAGTTACAACGAGCGCACTCGCTCTTATTCCACTCAGCCTTTCATCTGCATATTGGTCATCGTTCCTGAGTTCTGAGGTAGTCGGACTTGGTTTTCAATTCAGAGTAGTGAGATGGTTCAGAAACAAACATGTACGCTGTCTCCAACCTATTAGACACTATGCGATGAAGAATTGTGTGATACGGAGTATCAACTGTGAAGTGCTCTTTGCAGGCGTTGCGATGGTGGACACTGCTCAATGATGAGGGCATGCTTATAACCACCATATATCGAGGTATGCGGGTTGAACTTGATCGAGGGGAGCTCTGTGAGTCCGACGTGATCTTTCGATCAAATGGGGTCTTTGATCATTCAGCTTCGTAGATGAAGTTCGCAGATCAAAAGGCATCCACGCCTGCATTCCTACAGTTTCGTGTTAACGCACGACTTCATGGTCTCGGAAGCGATTACTACATCCTTTGATACGACCAAGCGAGCGATTCGCAAGAAAATGAGGTGGATATTGACAATGGTAAGGGAAGTAAAGGAGCGTGAGTTGATTTAGCCGCGGATTCCAACAACGATGGATGGCTGAGGAATATTCAGATCAACGATGGAGTGGAGTATCCATTAATTCAGTCCCTTGCCGTGACGGCGGACGTTGATCTAAGCTAGTCTAGTCTACAGAGACGACCTGGGCCGCCAGATATCAGGGAATTAGTCTAAAGATTACCCCTTCGTGCTTGCTCGCGTTCAAAAGCCTCGAACAGACTCTTGAAATTTCCAGCACCAAAGCCGTCAAAATTGTTGCGCTGGATGACTTCGATGAACACCGTGGGCCGGTCCAGCACATGTTTGGAAAAGATCTGAAGCAAATATCCCTTCTCGTCAAAGTCCACCAGAATATGAAGCTTTTCCAGAACGGCAATATCCTCCTCGAGTATCAGTCCGGTGTGTGACAGTCGCTGACGCAGGTCCGAGTAGTATACGCTGGGAACATCGAGGAAGGATACACCTCTTTCTCTGAGTCGAATGACAGCTGTGACGATGTCGTGTGTTCGGAAAGCGATGTGTTGGACGCCAGCGCCGTTATAGTAGTTCACGAACCTGTCGGTTGGTCAGCTCTAAGACTTGTTTACCCGGCGGTGCAGCAATGACCTACTCCTCGATCTGTGACTTCTTTTTACCCTGAGCCGGCTCATTCATGGGCATCTTAATCACTTCGTTAGGCGACGCGACGACGATCGACCGCATGGCGGAATATTCGCCGCACATGTTTAAGTCATCTACAGTCCAGTACCGATGGAAGTTAAGACAGTCCTCGTAGCTGAAATGACGACAGTTAGCAACCTTCACCCTTAAGACAGCGCGGAACAGCAGCTATACGTACTACTTGACAATTGGATCGACACCGTTCCACGGCTGATTGCCAACGCAATGATCTATCTCAATGAAGTCGATCGATGGCAGCAACCGATTGATGGGATCGTCGTCTGTTACGGCTTCATAGCCTGGTAGAAAGGGGCCGGAGTAGTGGTGACGATTGATCAACGAATGCACTGTATCCTCATAGGTACCAATCGTGGCCAGGGTGATTGAACCATGCTGGTCATCCTTCAAGGTTGTCGGGACCGCAACTGGAGCTGCTCCGTGATCTACTGCTCTTTTCCAGACAGCTTCGATATCGCCCTCGATCCGGAATGCAACATCCTTGACACCGTCGCCGTGCTTGTTCAGATGACTGTGAACTTCCTCCAACAATCTCCGATCCGCCTCGGTAACGTCATCGTCATATTCGCCTGTTCCTGACAAGGAACGGATCGGAGAAGTGAGAACAAAGATAGCTTGGCCGTTGGAGACGACGTGCGATACGACGCTTCTAGAACCAGTTTCGGGACCGCGATAAGCGATTTGCTTGAATCCCATCCGGGTCACGTAGTAAGAAGCTGCTTGTTTCGCATTGCCCACATACCACGTAATGTGGTCAAATCCCACATATTCCGGGCCTAGATTGGAAGCGAAGATGTTCTCCTCGACCTTGTTCAAGACTGTCATGGTTTTGGTGACATGGGGGACTCGAATTTATTTGCCTCAGGAATAGCACAGGGAAAGCGAATGTAGGGGTGAAAGCATTTGTATCTTCTCGTTATCATTATTAGCAGTAGAGGTGTAAATAATTATTTAGCTATCACTTCACCGACCCAGTCCCGGCCCTTCGTCACAAATTGTTAATAAACTTTCAGTGTTCCGCGATCCCTGCAACCGGCCAGCCAACCAGACTTGGCTCACGCTTAATAGTGCGACGCCATTTCAATGGTTTTTGGTTTTAGCCCTGACTTGTATGACTGAGACTTGGACAGGTCAGATTTATTCATTGGTACCCTGGTACATTTTGATATAATGGCATATCTATCAGATTCTGTAGGACAAACTTCCATTCTCTGGGTTCATTAGGGATGAGATAGTTCTTTTTGAAGCAAATTGGCCTTCTCATCTGCTGACACTGGACGTTGGAACCAGGTATGCCTCAAAATTAGGAGGCAGAAGCGAGTGAGACCCTATATCACCTGCTCTCGGTCTCGAGTAAGCCACCCGCGACATCCGCGCCTCCGTATCGAAGCCCGTAATCTCGAGGGCCATTCTGTAGGCCATAGCGACAAGATGTCCCGACGCTTCCCGGTTCTCCTGGGACAAAACCAGTGTCCTTCGTAGCTCTCGAACACTGGCTTCTGTATCACATTCACATTTGCACCACTCCAGCACACCCCATCAACTATCATTGACTGGCTCCGGCCGATTCTTGAAGAGCAGCTTGTACTTGATGATCTCCACAATCTCCAATTCCTCGCCCTCGGACTCGGCGGTCCTGTCGTCGTCAGGACGCTTCTTACGCTTCTGCACCAACGCGAGTGGCTGCGCCAGTTTCTTTACTTCCCCCGTCATCCGCTGATACCGGCCGACGTACAGATAGACTCGCTTCATCCATTTCGTGTCGTCCGGTGACGTGGTTTGCGGCGAGTAGTCAGGGAACATGAGTTTGCCAATTGGTGTCTCGAACGCGGTTATGGCAGCGTCGGGATCTTTGGCGTCGGCGGGGCGAGGAACCGCGCCCTGATCGTCGAGGGATGGGAGGTTAATTGTGCCTTGTAGTTCGAGGATTGCCAGACCCGAGGGCGTTTGTAAGATATGGGGGAGTGGGTTGTGGGGGTGAGAGGGAGAGCTCGACGCTTGAGGATGGAGGGGTATCGACGGCATTCTGGCTTGAGAGGTTTTCTGGTGGTTTTTGGGGATTATATTCAACCCTAAAAATATTTTCGGGAAGGTTTTGGCTTTTAGGCTTTGACACAATATACAATAGGCAAATGATGTATAGGTCTTGTAGACTCGTGGGAGAGAATAGCGCGTTGCTCAGAATCAACTGGTCTTATCGCTTATCGATAAGCAGATATAATATCCAGCACAATATTATTATTGCAAGGAGGTATATACCGTCCTCTATCATGCACATAGCCAATCTATTATGTTTTTGAATGTTAAGATATCTTGTTTCCCAATTAGCTGCATTGACCAGTGGTACGAGCACCAGCATTTATGGTTGCCAGATTCCATCAGAGAAATAACAGGAGTAAGTGTTGTACGTGGCCCAAGTTGATGAAGTACATCAGTCCTGCCACTCCTTAGCTTGTGGTTTCTTAAGGACGTAGATACAGAGAGACGATCTTGTAACTGCCATATAGAGCTACTCAAGCGTGGGCACATCATAAATCATAAGCTATGACGTGAATGATCACTAAATGCCTGCAAGACAATACCATCACATTTCCATGACTAGCGTGACCAGTGACGAATGATGGACCAACACATTCACAAACTCACAAGCTCTGTACAAGGTATTAATTATTAGGGTGTCTATAAAACCGAATCTTCTATAACGCTGCTTCTGCATCTTGCCATGTCGCCATTCTCAGGAGCTTTCCTACACCGACAACACAAACATATTTTGCATTCGGAAAACTTCTGCACCTTGTCAAGGAGGAAAACGGGTCACTCCAATGCGATCGACCGAGACTCATATGTAAGTTCAAGAAATGAGAGGTCTGTATCTGTCGATCGTCTTAATTCCTTCTCTGTTGAGCAAGCTGAGACTGCTAAAAGAGTCCAGACATGTTCCGTATCTCTGCACCAGGATATAACTAATCTTTCCTTACCAGAGGCGAGCGATCTTAGTTCAGAGCACTCCAGTATCAAGCTGTTAGAGCTTCCTAAGGAAGTACGACAAAAACCCTGCCATGTGACTGCCAGCAAGTAGGCTAACAATCGAACAAGGGCGAAGGCCACGCTGGTCAGACACATACAATTGCAAACATGCCGTATACTTCTTCCAAGACATGGATCTCAGACATAATCAAGGAATGTGACAAATTCGCGAGAATTTTGAATAACTCTCTGTTTACCGCGCCCGAGTCGCCAAATGTCCCTGAAGCCTACTGCGAATGGCTTGAATATGGAGTGTTCATCAATCAAAGAACCCAGGAGGCAGAATCTCGACGCCGCACACTAAGAGCCTCACAACAACTCAGCCGGGCGAAAACCTCGATTCAGCCATTCGCTGGCAAGACGTTCAAAGACACTCGATCTTCCGTGCTGGCAATGGAGACGATATGGCTACCTTCTATGAGCTTCCATCTTGAACGGCCTGTCGCTCCCTGGCCATGCAGCGACGAGCTCATGAGCGACAGTACCACGAGAAGTATGTCTGGATATTCCCGCTTTCCACCTCTGCCTAGGGTACCAGGCAACGAGACCGTCGATTGGAGAAAAAGAGCACCAATAACGCCGTACCCGTTTGATACTTTTGGAATGCCCAGTCTAGGACTCATCGCCGGCGCGCCAGATACCGAAGATGAGATGGCTTTCTTCGTCGGTCAGGCCCTGCTCGAGGAGATCAATATTGATGAATTCTAGACTGGCACTGACTGGACGGACGATTCTGGAACGCGGCAGTTTTCATGAGGACGAGATACGTGGATTCGGCGAGCGCATGATTCTCTTTGACTTCTCTGCGTATTAAGGTGGTCCTGAAACATGAGTGCACCTCGTTGACTGTGAAAGATTTTCTCTTTTCTTGATCAGATGTCGGACTACTTGACGTAGAAAGGCCGCTTAAATTCTGAATGTTGGACTGTTCCCCGAACGAAAGGGGCGTAAGAGTGTACTGAGAACCTCATGTGGATGATGTGCGAAGGTCATCCGCAGAAGAACACCGGAATCGTCCAAGGTATACCGGTAGACTCCGGAGGGCGAAATATGCATACCCCATCGCGTAGTTTGTGGGATGTTTGGCGTGCTGCGGTCTTCGAATATTTTGTATCTCCGGGAGTTACTACGGCGGGAGAAGGGATGGAGCGTTCCGTTATAGTAAGTGAATGCTCGTAGCAGCATTCACTGCGATATCTTACGATAGCAGACTTGCTCGAGATGCTCGAGACCATCTATAGCCTCCTTTACCATCTCTTCCCCAGATGACCCTGCAGGCCCTTGCATTTTGCCGTACCGCAGATCACTCAGCTCGCCAACTGTGGCGCTGAGTCCGGACAACACAGTTGCTGCATCTTGGTCCACCTGGGAAATCTCATGCTCAATATTTGAGCATGCGGTCTCCATTGCGGACAAAAGGCTGGAAATGGAGTGGTAATCACTGGAAGCAGCATTAATCCCCTGACCAAAGAGCTGGACATCCATGTCCATCTCCCGGCAGTCTTTCTCCTCCATGCCGTCAACGCCGGTCTTCATGATTGCTTTTCGAAGTTCGGCTTTTTGCGTCTCTCCTTGACGGACTTCCTTATCAATATTCTCATTGACGGTGTCCATGTCTTGCTCTCGCAATTGTTGGAGCTCCCGGTAAAGCACTCTGATATGCGGATGAGCCCGCAATTTCTTCGGGAAGAGTTCAGTGAACTGTTGCAACGAAATGATGGTTGGCAATGAAGCAGGCGAAAGCAGAAAATTGCTCAGAATGGATGCCTCAGACGGTGCCATACTGAGGTGATGGGAGACCAAATAATAATGTCAATGAGGCTTCTCTTCCTTCCTTTCCGTGCTTAGAAAATGAAATATATTCCGACCCGTATGATCTGTTTTGCTAGTCTTCGACAATGATATTCCTTGATTTTGTGTTGGTTTCTGACTCCAGCACAATAGGACGCTTGGCGATTAGTGATAGTGAAGACAAGACACGTCTTCAGATTGATGAGGAAATTTCTGAATAACGCTTGGTAGATAAGTACAGAGACCCAAGGAGATAATAACTTATGATGAATTCACAAAAAGGTTGCTGACTATTGTGCAACAATCAACAATTACCTTAAAGCAGGGTTGTTCAAGAGGAAAAGAAACGCCGACAGGAAGGTAGACGCGTGCAACTCTAAAAAGTCAGTCCATTTTTGGTTCCGCTTCATTCTTACCGTCCACCCCGACGCCTCTCTGTCTTCCTTCAAACTGTCATCGAGACCACAACCACGAATCGGTCAGAAGCATCTATCTTCTTCACAGCTGTCATCAATTGAATACTTGCTTGATCTGACCCTGTCGCGTCTCCCGAGGAGGTGTTCGACTTTCTACATCTGGCTTCCGCGGGCATTGAGACCTTCGCGTCTAACGCGGGGAACGATTTGATATACGAAGCTGATATCTTCGTATTGTGATTCCAATCGTTCTTCTACAAAGATCAAGTCTATTGCCTTCGTCCGCCTCTCATTGACGCAACTACTGCGGCCAGTATTCGCTGATATCCCTGGTTGTGTCGCACGTGCTTCTGCCAACTCAAAGCCTTATTAGGCTGCATTGCCAGGAACATCCTCCTTAGTGTCTCATCATTCTCATCCTTCTGGGAAGCCCGTGTTGGTGGCTAAAAGTAATACTACCAAGTCCTCTTCCTCTGCTTCTTCCGGAGCAGACAGCCTTTTATCATACCTCATCTATCTCGCCACATCCAAAATGGCGCCAGCAAGCCAATCTACTTACCAAAAAGACGAAAGAGTCCTTTGCTTTCATCATGAGATTCTATACGAGGCAAAGATCCTCGATGTTAGGCACACCGATGCTGAGGACAAGAAAAGTCCGTTCGAGTACCTAGTTCACTACAAGGGGTGGAAGAACACGTAAGTACCATCCTGTTTTCGCTTTCTTTTGTTGCGGGTGGCGGGTCTCCTACACCCATGCTGCTCTGTTGACTTCAGATTCGTGATTTTACCGCGTGCCTTGAGCCAACTCTGTCTCAATCAAGGCGCTAAATTGCACCTGTTTGAGTACATTGATGGAACTCTCGAATCGCAAGATTTGGTACGTTGAATGGCTGTAGCTGACTTGTTCCACGCAGATGGGATGACTGGGTGCCTCAAGATCGGCTCCGGAAATTTACGGATGAGAATAGGGAGCTCGCTACTACGCTCCGTCGTGAGGCAGAGGCTGCTTTTCGCCAGAAGAGCACAAAGACTACGTTGAAGAGAAAAGCAGGCTCCGACCGCGGCTCCGCCCGGGACAGCGAGGAGCGACAAACATCAGTCCCTGGTCGCGCGACCAAGAGGGCCAGAGACAATGAAATTGAAAAGGTAAGCAAAAGTCTCTCCAAAATGAAGACTGCTGGAACATGCCCGCTATGTCCTTGAGGGATATTGCAAGTCTCGCTGCTCTGCGCATGATACTCACAATATGGCTACAGGAAGAACATTTCTATACACGACCATCCGTGAGGATTGTAATGCCGGACAATTTGAAATCCCTTCTCGTAGATGACTGGGAAAATGTGACGAAAAATCAGCAGGTTGTTGCTTTGCCGGCCAAAGCATCAGTCAACCAGATATTGGAAGATTTCATCGCGGAAGAGAAGCCCAAGCGTACGAGCTCAGCTGACCTGGATGTCCTCGAAGAAGTCATCATGGGTATCAAGGAGTATTTCGACAAAGCGCTTGACAAGATTCTGCTCTACCGATTCGAACGCGAGCAGTACAAAGCCCTCCGCAAGAAATGGGAGGCGGGATCCGGTGAATATTCCGAGAAGGGGCCCCTCGATATCTACGGGGCCGAGCATTTGACGAGACTTTTTGGTATGCTTCTCCATCGTTTGGTCTTCAGAAGTCTACTTACTTATTTATTCGTCCAGCAACTATGCCGGAGCTCATTGCGCAGACAAACATGGATCTCCAGTCCACCAACAGACTCCGGGAAGAGTTGTCAAAATTCACGCTCTGGCTCAGCAAGAACTCAGACAAGTATTTCGCCACGAGGTACATGACTGCAACAAATGAGTACGTAGAAAAGTCAAGGGGTAACCCCAGTTCTGCAGCTGTGGCTGCCACGACACGGCTCGTCTGAGCATGATGGGGTGGCTGGAGTCGTCGCTGAGATGTTTTCTTCGTATACGGATGACATGCGCCTGTCGTCGATCTTTCTTTACGGTGTGTTTTGGTTAATGTGCTGCTCATCTGCAGCGCAGGCTAGCAATCAGCTATGCGCACCATGGTTTATCATGTTTGAACTTGTATTATTAGATCTAGAATTGGCCAGATTTCATCACGAATTCTCGAGAAGACACTGCCTCATCACGATATGCATTCTGGCGTCCTAGGTATACAAGTCAGGACCCAGTTCTCATTCATCGATTCTGATCCTATAGCTATACAGGATGATATAGTTCAAAGAGGAACAACCAAGACAACGGTAATTTACAACCATTTGGGCCTCTTTCGGGGCACCGCAAGCACGCTCTTGCGCTGAGGTTGAAACGAGGAATTTCTACGCAACCAATTGCCGGGCATCCTCCACGGCGCATCTGGCCGCGCGCTTCAATTCCGTCTTCCAGTCCGCCTCACGCCATCTCGTCCACGCACTCAACCCCTCGGGCGGCTGAATACTCAACGTGTCGTAGCCCTGTTTGATGATCCTGTGAACTTCCCGGGGCGAAAGATTCTTCTTCCGGTTAGCCGGGATCGGTACAGGATTCGACACTTCACCACCAGGTTTCAAGCTCGCCTCAACGTTCTTGTCTGGGTTAAAAAGCAAAGTGTAGAAGTGGGTCGAGACGGAGATCAGAGTGTCGACGGCGGCGACGTGGATGTCCTTGCTGGCGACTGTTGTGGGGTCGGGAATCTTCGAGGCAGAAGGAGTTGGGGGCTTGAGGGAGTAGACGTCGCGAAATCGGGTGATGATGGGACCTGTTTCAACGAGTTTGTAGAACAAGTCGTCGTAAGATGCCGGGTCTGGGAGAAAGGTGTCCCCTGCGGAGACGCAGAACGCCACCAGGTCTACAAGGGAGGTGGTGAGAGTGGCGATGTTGGGAGAATTTGACAGATCCGACGCGTACGTGGTAAGGAACCGCATCAGGGAGAGCAGAGTCCTCCAGAGCTCCGACCAGTGGTATGTCAAACGGATTTTGTTCATTGATAGGTAGGTTAGGAGCCGAAGAAGGATGGCGATTGAATGACTTGAATGACGGGTGGATATTAGTCCCAAGCGTCCTGTTAGGTAAAACGAAGAAAAAAGAGAATTTACCTGTAGATGTTGGCATCAAGGCGCCGCCGGAGATTATGGGAAATTGTATCAATCATAATGTCGAAGATAACAGTTGCGAGAACCCTGTCCCCGGTGACGAGCGGGAGATATGGCTGCCTTTGCCGGCAAAGGCGCACTTTCCTTTTCTCCCCGTCACCGCAAAGCTGTTTACACAAGGATGAGTCTTCAGAAAGGATGCGAAGAGTGAAGAGGTTTAGCTCCGCATAGTGTGCAACCCGAGGAGATCTGTAAGCGTGCTGTAACAGGTAGCTCGTGACAGAGAGAAAGCTGGCAAATGGAGATTCCTCGCTCTCTTTCTCTGGCACGGAGTTAATGAGGTGATACCCAAAGAGCTTATTTGCATTTGCAAAGTCATAAGTGGCTAGAAGAATGGCTGCTTCCTGAGCCGGCCTGAT